AAAGGATTTGTATGAGTAACACGTTATTTTGAGCACTAAATAAAATGTTATCTCATCATACACATTAGAAGAATTCTGTTTTCATTTATACTTCTGCAACCTTAGAAATACAGTCTTCCTAACAACACACGATAATCCAAATTCACAGAGTGAGAGAAGGCAAGTGTAATCCATTCCAAGAATATATAAAAGTGTAAACCGCTATAGTTATATTCTTTTCCATCACTGCTACATGTGCCTTTATGCAAATCTAACCCTCAGGTTGCACATTTGCAACAGAAACATTCACATAACACGGTTTTGATGCTAATGATGCTGTATAAGTAATATGTAGGGGACTAGTGCAAGTGTCAATTGCATATTCATATCACATATGTACAGTTATTAAAATAAAATTTGCATTTAAAGATGTTGTACACTAGGAATACTCATTAGTATTTTACTCACCTATATGCAGCATGCAAAATAAAGCTTAGGTCTTGCAAATAATGTAATTTCTAAGTATTTGTGAATATTCTTAAATATTTATAAGTAACAGGCAAGTTCCTTTCCTCCTCAGAGCCCCAGTGGAAGAAAGCGAGTTCCATGTTGGCACTCAGCGTAAAATGAAGTAAGTTTAGTAGTTTGACGATACAATGACCTTGCTTCTGTGCAGCATTCTCTCCTGACTACCTAGAACTACTGGAACAACCGGGGCTCAGTGCTCAGACAGTTTAAGAAGTATTTTCTGGTACAACCTACCTTTTTCCTCAGTTTTCTTGCATGTTTGTTCATTCTTCATTCATGTAGCAGACAATCCTGGGAATGGTACACAGAAGTAGTATCAGTCATCTGAGGCCAAAGTCACTAACGTCAGCTGTGTAAGATGATCAATTTAACAACAGTTTGCATGACTGGGCACTACACTGCATTGTCCCAAACATCATATTGCAGTCACGAAAACTCTATAGTAGAAGTTGCTTTATGAAGTTGATTGCACTTGCTACTGCTGAACTACAAATAAAGTTTCTACAAGTTTATGCTCTAGAAAGCTCATATTCAAAGCTGCTGCATCACCACATCTACAAAGACTGTATTTATACTTTTATATGTGCATTTTTCTTTCAAAAATGTGTTCCGTTTCAAAGATGAACTTTCATACTTGGCACATCTCCAGGATTACAAACATATTTTTCTAAGCTGGGTATTTATTTAGCACGAGAGGTTTTCTTGAAACATTATAGAACCATTTTGCGGTATCATTTTTCTTCTTCCTACTAAAGCACAACAGAATTCTTTTATCAGGAGAGACACTTGCAACTCTTTCAGTGACTCAAGACTCATTTGCTGTTTAATTTAATGGAACAGATGTTTACCTTCTTTTACAGTTTTTGTTTCTTTGGATTTTTAAGAACCACTGGGGAGAATAACTGATACTATATAGCTGCTTCTGCTAATGAGGCTATACAAATATTACCATCAATAATCTGGGGGCCAATAGTTTAAAATAACAATAAAACCAAGTTTGTCACAAATCACAATTTAATTTGCATTCTCATTGCTTCCTGACATTTTTTAGAGTTCTATTAATCATGCTCATTGCAAATGAGGGGCAGTTGAATCTCACAGTGCAAAGTGACTCTCCCAAGCAGATGAAAGAATCTTTCATGCAATTCCCTTTCAATTAAGGTATATTGCTCCCCCCCAGGAGTTACCCAAATTACAAGCTAAAATCAGTAGTCTACTTCTCAATGAAAGTTTTACATAGCCTTATAATGGAAAGCAAAATATCAGCTGTTATTACTGGAACGAATTCAGTCCCCAGCAAGAAAACAATGAAATAGATGGGCCTATGACTCTTACAGCATAAAAATCACAAAGAGTGATTCTGGCACCACAAGAAAAAATAATTTATAACAAGTAAGTGTGGTGACAGTAAAAAGTATCAACCTCACTACTCAAGAACCAGAATGCCTCTATTAACCCAACAATACAAGTCTTCCCACTCTGCCATGCAATATGCATCAGCCTGGAGGAATCGCACAAAGCCAAACTGATGATTGTAGTGATGCCACACTTGATACAACATAAGGCAGAAATTAAGATGAGATCAAAGTTCTGAGTCACATCCCCGACCACACCGGGGGGGGGGAGGGGGAGGTGAAACAGAAAAAAGCCAATATACATGGATTATTGTGAAGTAAAAAAAAAAAAAAAATGAAGGAAGCTAAAAGTGTGAAAGGAAAATCCATGGTTAAAATAGCTAAGAAAAACAGCTATGCAAAGGCAATGGCCTTTTAAGATACATCAGCACATAAATGAATTCTAGTACTGAAAAGATGAAGATGGTAAAATTACTGAAGTGAGGCAAAAAGTTGCAAGTGTTCCATAAATATTGCCTATCTGTATTTGATAACGCGGATAACTTTGTACTACATGAAGATAATGAAATACTTCCAATATACTTATGACTAAACCAGATAATATCAAGATAATAATTTTTAGGATTTCATAAGGAAAAACATAACCACAAGGTCTAGAAAAATGCCCAAGAGAACTGCCTTAAGGTATCAGCAGGACTCCAATGTCTGTTTCTGAGGCATGCGGGAATAACTAGAAAATTTCCCCAGAGGAGGTATGCAGATACAAAAAAGTTACAACTAATAATTGCAGGAGAGTTAGAACACTTTTAAACATGGATTGAATGTAAAAAGGAGGTTAATTAATAAAGTATTAATTCACTTCACAACAAGTATAATTAAAAGGAGAACAATATCATTAATGCCAGTCAACATGGTTGTACAGAAAAGCTGTCCTGTTAAACAACCTGGGGTTTGTCCTTTGTGTGAGTAATTGCAGTAATATTAGCTGCTTAGGCTTTTATAAGACACTTCACCTAAAACACCTGGCATTTTAGAAAAAATAAAAATAACACAGTGAAGAATGCATTATGTGAATTAAAAATTAGTTAAGTGAAAGACTTCCTATTTAGCAATTATGCCAGTACTAGATCTGAAGTAATTTTACATTGTTCTCAGTGAAGTGAAAATCACAGTACCGTCAGTGCTGGTGGAATGGCAAATAATGGTGGGAACAGTGTGATCCGGGTCAGTTGGTTCACTGCACTCCTTTCTTGAGAGCACATTCTCATGCACATATTAAAAAACGGAATGAGTGTTTGCAGAAAGCATGTATGTAAATCCCAGTTAAAAGAAAATGATGTGTGCTCAAACTTAAAAAGCTTAATCTTTTTAATCCTTTAAATAAAAAACGGACTTAATTTGATCTCAGTCTAAAGTACATACAAGAGGCCATACTGAAAGGCCTATCATCTTGAGGATAAAGGAATAAGGACACCAATGTTTAGAAATTAAACTTAAAACACATACCAAATTTCATATTTGAACTTACCTAACACTAAAGCTAATAGAATCTGAAACAAATACAGACAAATATCATTATCTCTTGAAGTTGCCAGATCTAAACTATACACCTCCATAGTCTTAGGTGCAAATAACGAGCCAGAGGTACGATATATAGGAATTGCAGTACATAAGTGGTCAGGTTATATAAACTAATGGGACCTTCTGTCTCATTTGGATTTTACAACTCACAAAGACAAATGCTATTTAATTGTCTTCACAGCAAGGCAACATTTTGGAGAAACAGGCAAATGTATGCTTTTTCCCCCCCATAAATGTTTCTTCCTTCAACCTTACATATCCAACAGTTAACCCATCCTCATACAAACAGGCATGAGAACAAATATACCCTTTCCTCCATATATTTTTACTGTTTCAAGGAGACTAGCATACACTAATTCTTCCTATAGAATCCAAACCATTCTGTTCTAAATCATGGCTGATCAGATGCAGTCAGTCTTGTGTGACAAGTACATCATTTTAAATACATTAAGATTTCATCTTGTTTGTTGCAATGGCAGAATGCAAAACTTACCACCTTTTAGGGAAAATACAAAGTTAATTTTATTTACCTCCTCCAAATACAGCCTCCCTAGCTTACTACCAAGAGCTCTATTCCCTCAGAACAGCCTTTGTGCTGTTAATAGGTCTTTGACATTTTTGTAAAGCAATGGAATGTAGTTCTAGATGTCACAGATATTACAGCGTATTTACTTGCAGCTCAAGTATTTTATTTGCTTCAGTGGGTTTTCTTCAAGTTCCCCAGTCTCCTCCACCTGCTTGTCTGCAGAGTAACTTCAACTCAACTCTATGCCTGTAGCTTAAGTATATGAAATTGAACTTGAATTACACTAACAAAAATGTCCCGTTTAATGATAAATATCAAACTTGCAGAGAGCATAGGATACTTGAGACATGATAGTATATAATGTATAAGATATTCCATTGAATATGGTAGGATTCATAAATAAGAAGCAACAGAATTCACCGTGGCTGGGATTAATTCAGGCTCTTCTCTACTCTTACACCAAGAGACACCAGGCAAGAAAAGAACATCTGAAAAACCTGCTGTACCCTACTTCATGTCAAATCACCCCCAGTAGCTGGAAATCATACCCTGTGTCCCAAGTAATCTTAAATGCCAGTTAAAGTGTTTACTGCTATGTAAAATCCACTGTTAAGCTAAAAACTTCACATTACATCTTTTCAGATAGGCTGTTAATATAACATGCAGCAAGGCCAATTATCTTTCAAATTAAGTTTAATCAAAGAGGACATCTCACCCTTAGCAGATTTAAAGTTATTCTGTTCAATTACTGACAAATGGGTCAAATACGTCCCTTAGAATTATCTGCACTGACTATTTATTTCCTTAGGACCTCTATCAGAGGAAAAAAAAAAGCATTACTATCTCCCCAAGAAAGTAAAACAATGTCGTGAGAACTGATTTTCGATCTTGTATAATAAAAAGGTCCCCCTTTTTGTTTTACTAGGAACACTGCTGAAACTGATTTCTCAATCATTTTTCGTATACCTAATAATAAACATGGCACACAAACCAGAATGCAAAGGAACGTTATCAAGCATAGTCCGCCTAACTTGGCTAGTCCTTTTAGCCAGCCGTTTAAACCCCATTGCTCGAATAACTTATCCAACCAGTTCCAGGAGTCTTCCACCTTTAATTTCTGTACTCCTTTCTTCAACATCTGAATGCTGCGGTGAATTGATTCCGAATGGTCAGATAGATTCATACAGCACATACCCTCAAATTCCTCACACCCATGTCCTTGTGCTAAAAGCAAAAAATCTATTGCTGCTCTATTTTGCAAAGTAGCATGTCTTATAGAGTCAACATCCATTAGTAGCCCTGTTAGTGCTTTAGAGGTTGCATTTGATTGTTTCGCTAGCCAACATCCTGATTTATTTAATGTGACCAAAGCCTTTGCTGCTGCGGCACCTGGGGTGAAAATTGCAACTGCAGCTGTAGCGGCC